ATAGGTTACCCCAAAGGCTCTATGGGTTACTTATTCTATAATCCAAATGAGCAAAAGATGTATTGTAGTTGAAATGCCCACTTCCTAGAAGAAGATTACATCTTGGATAATCATCATCAATAAGTTCTTCTTGATGAGGAGAGCCCAGGTGTAGTGGAAGATGTCTCACCAGCTCCAGAAAATAACCAACCTAGAAGATCTACCCGGGTTTCTAGGCCTCTAGTTCGTTATGGCTATGACCAAGAAAGTTACTTAGTGGAAGCCACGACCAGTGAGGAGGACCCCATGACTTATTTGGAAGCTATGTTGGACATAGATTCCTTGAAATGGGTAGATGCCATGAGAGCTAAGATGGACTCAATGGAGACCAATGGAGTCTGGACTCTACTAGATCCGCCCCCTAGGGTAAAGGCAATTGGTTGGAAATGAATCTATAAGAGGAAGAAGGCCCTGATAGTAAAGTTGAGACCTACAAGGCTCGTCTTGTGGCGGAAGGGTACACTCAGAAAGAGAAAATCGATTATGAGGAAACATTTTCGTCTGTGGACATGCTTAAATCCATTAGAATCCTGTTAGTTGTAGTAGCGTACCATGACTATGAGATTTGGCAAATGGATGTCAAAACTGTGTTCCTGAATGGAGATCTTACTGAAAATATCTATATGTAGCAACTGCAAGGTTTCATAGCTGCAAGTCAGGAACTTATGGTATGTAAGCTCAACCGATCCATATATGGACTTAAGCAAGCTTCTAGAAGTTGGAACATCTGGTTTGACTCTACTATCAAACAGTTTGACTTTGAGCAAAATCTGGATGAGCCCTGTGTTTACAAGAAGACCAATGGGGATAAGGTTACATTCTTGGTTCTGTATGTAGATGATATTCTACTTATTGGTAATAATGTATGAATGTTAACTACAGTGAAAGTGTGGCTTTCACAGCAATTCTCCACGAATGATCTTGGAGAAACCTCCTACATATTGGGTCTTCGACTCTATAGAAATAGATCGAAGAGGATAATAGGATTATCCCAGTCTGCTTACATTGACAAGATAGTCAAAAGATACAGTATGGAGAATTCCAAAAAAGGAGTCACTCTCTCCAAGGGTATGTCTCCCAAGACTCCCGAAGAGATTGAAGGCATGAAAGAGATTCCTTATGTCTCAGCCGTAGGGTGCATCATGTATGCCATACTGTGCACTTGTCCTGATATTTCTCAGGACGTGAAAAACGTACTAAAATAGCTTCGAAGAACAAAAGAGTTTTGTCTGGTATTCGATGGTATTTCACTACAAATCTAGGAGTATACTGATGTCGATTTCCAGTTAGATCCAGATGATAGAAAGTCTACATCTGGTTATATCTTAACAATAGGATCGTGTGTTGTTAGCTGGAAAAGTAGTAAACAAGGGTCCACCGCAAATTCCACAGTCGAGGCCGAGAACATTGCCGCAAGCGAAGCTGCCAAGGAAGTCGTTTGGATGAAGAAGTTCATTCAGGAATTAAAAGTAGTTTCATCTAGCACATCACTCATTCCATTGTGGTGTGATAACACTGGAGACATTGCTCAGGCTAAGCAGCCATGAGCCCACTCAAAGTCGAAGCACATCGAGAGGAAGTACCATGTACTGCGGGAGATAGTTGGAAGAGGGGACATTCTGATTTAGAAGGTAGCATCAGCGGAAAATGTAGCAGACCCATTAACTAAGCCATTGACACAGAAAGTGTTTGAGAAATACGTGGAAAGTATGGGACTCCAGCTTGTACCCGATTGGACCAAAGTGCAAGTGGGAGTTGTTAGACAGTTATGCCCTTATCTCCAATCGGATTGATGTATCTTTTGACATTTATTGTAAATGAATAAAGTACATAATTGATTCATGTCATTGTGGTGTGTTTCTGTGTAATACCCTTAAACTGGACACTTAATGAGACTCATGTTAATTTAGAATCTTCACAGCCGTTGGATAGATCTGGGGTGATTTATCCTGCCAAGGCTGACACTGATGTATCACCAAGTTGGTTGAGGTGGCTTGTCTTATCTGTCAGGGTGAGACCTGTAGTACATGCAATGTGGGTTTTCTTGAAACCCTGAACCGGACCAAAATTCCATTATTGCCCTGGACCTTGGAGATAGATGGGCAAAACTATAATGTTACACCTGACCCATAGACTTGATTATGGTACTGCACTATGTGTCGGATTGGGTTGTCTTTGATATGCCAATCAGTGAGATTCTTAAAAGGGGTCAAAACCTAGGTATGTTGGGACAGTCCAAAAATTCAACCCTTTTATCGAACAAAATGAATGATCAGACCAAAATGCTTTTATATAAACACAAATGATCTACTTTCTACTATATATGATAATCCAAGTGATGAGATCATGAGACGAAGAAATTGAGCCATTAGTTTGATCAGAAGATTACTCAAAATCATCAATAGGGAGAAGCTTCCTAATTCCAACCATAAATCTCCTAGAATTAGGAACCATAAATCTCCTAGAAATGAAATTCAGTCATCTGCCATCAGATGGATCCTCTGCCCCCAAAAGCAAAGATTGTTAGAGATAGTTGGAGCTCCAAAGGTTTGTGGTCATAGTACACCTAAGGATATATCTGTAGGTAGGGCCTAGCACGAGCGGCAGATGCTTTTGATTGTCAGCTTGATTAGAATTTTGCAGCGTCATATCAATGCATGGATTGGATTTCTGCATATATTCCTTGATCCAAATTTCAATAATTTATCCTACATCAAATGATCATAGCAAGGGCGGCTTGATTTTTCGTTACATCTCTTCTCTCTTTCTCTCTCTCATATTTGATATTTTAATATTAAATTCGGCCATAGAACAGGACCATATAAGCAAGCTTGAAGATAAAGCATTTTGGAGCTCAGTACTCCATCGATAAAGGTCGAGGAGAGAAGTCAATTTGGGCACCAAACAAACTCTTCAGGCTGAAAAGTCATTGGTCGTTGAGTTTAATACAATCCAATTTGCAGATCTATTGGGATTGACCGGCAGATATCCAAACACGTGAGTTTTATTTTTTTTCTTGAAAAGTGGATTTTAAAGTGAAAATGGGTTTTAGGATTTTTTTATAAGTAAAATTAAAATTTATTAAAAACAAAAAAGAAAGAAAAGATACAACCGAGCTCCAAAGGGCGAGACTCAGCTCAATTACACATACAACGCATTATATTTTGTTTTATATACAAGGCTATTTACATCAAAGAAATTAAGAAAGATTATTTTTGGAATATATTCACATTAAGAAATAAAAGTTATATTTGGAATTCATTTAAAACATTTTCATACTTTTTCTTTCTTTTGTTTCTCAGTACCTAATCTTTGTCAAAGAATTTTACATGTTAAATAAAGCCCACCACAAGTTCTTTTTTTTTAATTTTAATGATATTTCAAAGGCAAACCCCTTCACCTAAAATAGTTGAGAATGATCAATAATATTAGAAAAGAAGACCTATCTTACCAATTGCATTGGTCATTGAGTAGTGTTTGCCGAGTCAAACCTGTGTAAAAAATAAAATAAAATAAAATAATGTCAATTCGCTTAGGAAGAAATAGGACGTGAACATCTTTGGAACCCGAATCAGAATTGAAATAGGAATAGTCTATTCTCATAGTTTGTTTGGTTCATATAAAAATCTGAATGGAAATTGAAATCAATTGGAATGAAATTTTATTCCCAAAAAAGGGAGAATAAATGGCCATTCACTGAAATGTGGGAATATGCCAACAAGGAACGGGAGTGGGACCAATTCTACTGAACCAAACAGTAAGAATTGGATCACAGTGCAACTAATAATATGAAGAGTACTGAACTTTAATGTTGTAAGAAAAGAAGAAAAATATGATGATGGAATCAAATAAAATAAGGAATTTACTAAAGAAATGCTTGGAGAAAATTGAGGCATGGTTTTTTCCAGTAGAAGTTGTCCCATAGTTTTAATTCATCATGAGGAATCAAGGGCTCAGAAGATGGCAGAGCTGGAGGATCCATAGCCAAGGTAGATGCATCAGAAGAAGCTGCAGGTTGTGCAGTACTGTTAGATCTATCAGATGAAGAAGTAGTCGGACCTGTAGGTAAATCATCAGGAAAAAGTGAGATAGTGGGATCAGAAAAAAAAATGTGAAGATGTCAGGGTAACTTGAAATGGGGAGAGACTAGAAAACATTTTGTGTTCCTAAAAGGTAATATGACGAGATATGCGAAATCGTTGGGAAAGAGGATCCCAACACCGATATCCTTTATGTTCAATACCATACCCGAGAAAACAACATAGACGTGCTTTTAGTTCCAATTTGGTATGTTCATGAGGTTGTAATAGAACAAAACAAGCACAACAAAATACACAAAGAGACTGGTAATCAGGGCAATGGCCATACAATCGTTCATAAAGAGAAATGTTACCAAGAACAGGAGAAGGAATGCGATTGATGGTATAAACAGCAGTGAAGGCTGCTTCCCCCCAAAAACGTTTAGGACAGGAGGAAGAGATTAAAAGAGCTCGAATAGTATCAAGAATATGCCTATGTTTTCGTTCTGCACGCCCATTTTGTTGAGAGGTACCGGGACAAGATCTATGAATGATAATTCCATTTTGTGAAAGAAATTGGGTAAGGATAGAATCTCTATATTCTATGGCATTATCAGTGCAAAAAGTTTTAATGATAGAGGAAAACTGAGTTTTGATCATAGTGGCAAATTGAATATAGATTGCAGATAATTAAGATTTATTACGCATGAGATAAATCCATGTATATTGAGAGAAATCATCAATGAAGATCACAAAATAACGCAAACCACCCATGGTATTATGAGGCGAAGGGCCCCAAATAATAGAATGAATGAGATCAAAAGGTGCAGAAGAAACAGAATCACTTATAGTAAAAGGCAAAGCATGATGTTTTGAAAGAGGACAGGAAACACAATCAAAGTGTGTTGTTTTAACAGGACCCAAACATCCATTAGAAATTAATCATCCTAATCCTGAGGTAGAAATGTGACCAAGGCGAGAATGCCAGACACTAAAGGTGACAACAGCAGCAAGAGATGGTAATTGAAAAGATGATAGCTCAAACAGTCTCCCAACCTTACGGCCTGTCCCAATGATCTTCCCTGTCCGTGGATCCTGCACAGTACAACCATAACTTGAGAAATGTATTTCAAAACAAAGTTCACATAATTGTCCAACAGATATAAGATTTAGATAATTGAGGTAACAAAAAGGTGTTAGGAAGTGATAAACGAGATGTTGAAACAGTGCCTACACTTTTGACAGTTAAGATGAAACTATCGACAGTATGAACAGTTGGTGCAATAGAAGGATGTGATTGGGAAGTAAACAGTGATGAATTTGATGTCATATGATTGCAGCAGGCAGAATCAAAATACCATGATGAGGTAGTACCTGGAGTGACAGACAAGGCTGAATTAGAAGGCATACCAGAATCAGGTTGGAGCTGGTGAACAAGAGCTTGGAGTTCTCTAAGGGAAAATTTTGGAGAGGTGTTATCAGAAGAATTCTCTGTGGCAGCAGCTGCAGTAGAACTAGAAGCCTGAGAACCCATGGATGAGGACTTCTGTCCAGACGCCATTTTGGCTTGCAAGCAGCGGCACTCAGAAATAGTATGACCAGTCTTCTTGCAGTAATTGCAGAAGGTCCATTTTGAAGGTTTAGTTGAAGAAATAGCAGATGTACTCGGAGTAGCAAAAACAACATCAGTAGATAATAAGGATCGCTCATCTCGAAGCGTTTTTAGACGAGTTTCTTTATAAAGCAAATCTTTGATTACAACTTCAAGAGAAGGCAATGGGCTATGATGAAGTAGAGTACCACTAATAGGTTCATACTCATCCCTGAGAGTCATCAGAAGATGCCAAACACGTTGGCAATCGTGAAGCTTGGAGTAAGTAGTAGCTGCAGAAGTACTATCCAATTCAGGATCACACTGTGTTAACTGATCCCAAAGAACTTGTAATTCAAAGACATAAATGTGGATGGTCTGTTCAGGTTGCTGTTTCATACGGTGAAGATGCCTATAGAGATGAAATTGATGCACATCATCAGAAATAGAATAACGGGCTTGTAAGAAATCCCATACCTCTTTAGGAGAGTCATATCTGCGAAATTCCAACTTGATGCTTGCAATACAAGTATTGCGAAACCAGGTTAATATTTGATGATTTTTCCCGTCCCATTTTTCTATTCACTCAGCAAATTTATCTTCTGTTTCATCAGCAATTTTAGTAGGTTTGGGAATCTCACCAGTCACACATCGCCATAGAAGGCGTCCCTTGAGAAAACTGCACATCTCTTGGGACCATAAATCATAATTTGAGCCATCGAAGGCAACAATGATGGGATGAGAGATATGTTGAGCAGCTTTAGATGAATCCATGAGGAGAAACACAGATCTTTGGAGTAATACGAATCACGGGAAAATACTGACCTCAAAGAAAAAACTTCACAGAATCCTTAATGTCTTCTTCATCGGGGCAGCCTCAATTCTGGTACATGCAGACGCTGGCGAAGGTTCTGCACCTACGTAACCTTCCTTTCTAATTCGCAGACCACAAGATGTGAACCGCTGGTTTAAGCAGTGGGTTTGTCTGGCTTAAGCAGAGGAAGGGAATGTAGCACACCTTCAAGCGCAGGTCTCGTACGCGAATGAGATCACCGCCTTCGTGGAAAACCAATAGATGAAGAAGCAGGTCGGGGTCTTTTCAGCGACAACCACCGGTGTTAAGAACCTCTTCTGCCACCTTACCGTAGGCCGTCCCTGAACTCTCTCTCCTGGCGGTGACAGCGCTAGCAACTTCGGCGGTTCGGTACTTCTTGAGGAAGCTCAAGAAGTTCTGACGAAGAGGAAATTTGACTGCGTCAATCAATGGCACGACCGGATTTCTTCGAAGAGGAACTTCGACGACTATGGTTCCTCTGACGAAGATTTCTATGACTTAGTCTCCGTAAGAGTGAAGAGAGACGAAGCCGATGTCGTCAATTCCTCCGGAGTAGAAGACGAGGCAAAGCCGATGATGAAGCTTCCGATGGGAACACAATTGTCTTACATGCCAACTCTGGGGATTCAAGGGAAGCAGCTCCAGTGGGAGCAGACACTTGCCGAGTGCTCAATTCAGAATGACGCGGGGCTCCAGTTGGTTGGGCGGATGAGCTTCTGAAGCAAAGGCTCTGATACCATGATACGAGGCCAAGAAGAACGAATAGAGAAGGGAATAATTTCTCTTGATGATTAAATTCAATAGGCTACAGCTCTATTTATAGTAGAGCTAAATATAATTGGGATACAATAGGGAGACAAGGTCGGCGACCTAAAGAGAATACAAGAAGGAAAGAAAAAAAGATAAGAAGCTAAGATATGTACAGCCAATTATCTCTTAGAAGTAAGGAGATATAGGATATGCTAACAGTTCTTTTGAACTCTTCATGTGTATAAGTAACCTTGCATCTATCGCAAATGGCAGTAAACTAAATATTGGGATATGCTCAACTTGCTTATGGTCATGTTCAACATCGTCTGGACATAGAACCATCCTCTCCAATTGCTCGGGCATGTCGATCAAGTTAAGATCTTTTAGATTTATGAGATGCTCAATACCCAAAGGCAGATTTCGTAATTCCTTACAAGACCGGATGACCACCTCTTCTAATACAGGCATTACACCTTTCTCCACTATCACTAACTCAATCTGTCAAAATTGAAAACGTCTAGCTCCTTCAGTTTTCTAAACCCATTTGCCTCAAAATACAGCTCTTCTGCATCATGTGTTCGACTGAGAAAGAGCTTCATTAGATTAGGCAATGACTGAAGCACTCTAATTAACGGGGTCATCTCTTAACATTGAAGATTGCAAAACCTATGTAGACTAGGCTATGGAGTGAGGTAATCCAGCTAGGCAATCTCTCTAAACGCCCTACCAACCATAAGAGCTGAAGAAGCAAGGGAGGAGAGGACATGGAATTGAAATCAAGAAGTTCGTCCTCTGATTCAGAAGTTGCATGCAAGGAATGGATATCATTTCATGCTGCCTTCTTAACTTTCTAATGCTTAAACTTCTTAGGTTGGTTAAATTTCCCAACTCTCTAACTATTTGATCAGTGCTTTTATCACCAATAGCTTTTTCATGGATGTTAGACATATGTACCTTCACCCCTTGCAACCCAATTTTGTCAAAACAATAAGCCAAGCAATGCCGTAGTTGTCTGAGCTTGTTAGAGAATTAAGATAATTAGATAAGGCTTTGATGTATTGGTTGTTATGATAAGGAACATAGTTACATTAGGAGTTCTCAATAGGATAAAACTTTGTTATGTTATATTAGAGTTTGAGATAGATTAAAATACACTATAGAGTCCCAGATAGAGTTTAAGAATTTGAGTTTGAATAGGTTTGATCTCTGTTTTAGTCTATAAATATGATGTAATTATCATATTCAATCATTGCATTCTTTTTATCCTTCCTTAAATTCTAACTTGGTATCAGAACCAAAGGTTCAACCTTAAAGTCTTTCAAATTGTTCTCGTGTTTTAAGTGGGTGGCTGGCATCTTATCCACCCGCTAGCTGCCTTCTTGTTTAATTTACTTTTCCATTCATATTTCTTATTATAATCAATTCTAATTTAGTTCTACTTTCACTTTTACTTTGGTTATGTTTCTCACATTCACCCATCTGCCCAGTTTTCAGCCCATCACCATCGCCCGTGTTATTCGTTGTTATAAAGTTACATGCTGAAAGTGAAGACTAGTGTTTCCTTCATCATGCCATCGAACCCAGAATCAGTTCTATTACATTTATACATCTGGCTTCATTCATCATGCCACCATTAAGAACCTATAGTATAACACTCATTACTTTTATGAGATTGGATATGGAAAATCGGCCCATCAATTTTCTTTTACAACTACTCCCAAAGTGGGACCCGATGTTCCCTACACCTTTGGCATTATAGGTCACTTTGGCCAAACCTACGATTCCAATCAGACGCTAGAGTATTACCTCTCCAACCCAAAAGCGCAAGCTATACTCTTCGACGGTGATCATTCTTATGTGGATCACTACCCACTTCATGACAATAGGAGATGGGATTCGTGGGCCTGGTTTGTAGAGAAAAGCACCACATATCAACCATGGATTTGGACAGCTAGCAATCATGAAATCAACTTTGCTCCCTAGATTGGCAAATCCGTTCCTTTCAAGCAATACATGCATCAGTACCATGTGCCCTACAAAACTTCGAAGAGTACATCTCCACTGTGGTAATCAATCAAGCGGGTGTCAGCACATATCATTGTCCTCTCATCTTACTCTGCATATGGAACATGGTCAACCTACTCATATCATTGTTCAGATCGATTGGTTCATCTAGTCAACCCGGTTAAATCAGTCCAACAAGTTCAGACAGAGATTGTTGTTCTTCTATATTCGATAGGCGCATTCTGGTTTTTAGCCCATAGTAGCCATTGGTGTATTTTTGTCCTATGTAGGTCATTATAGCGCAAAAAAAAGAGAAGAAATATAAAAGAAAAAGAAAGCCCATTGAGGCATTGCCGATTGGCTCATAGTAGCAATTTAGCCTATTAAAGTTTTTTTTTCATTGACCTATTAAGGTGTTCTTTCGGCCCTTGTTCGCCTATTTTGGTATTGGTTGGATATGGCCTATTCTTTGATCGGCTCAAGAAGCCAGCTCATTGTGGCATTCTTAATTGACCCACTAAAAGTGAGGTTTTTTCATGGCCTACTTTGGCCTATTTTCAATTTGGCCCATGATTGGCCTATTGACATTTCTCACCATCAACTTATGGGGGCTCTCTCTTGAGGAAGCAATATCATGCTATCAGTACGGTCATATCATCATTAATTTGCCACATTATCATCACAGCAGACTTGGAGATATGGACACATCATCACAGGTTCTCATCATCCCATCATATAACTAGCCATCATTTGCCATCATCATCATTCTAGTAGGCTTATTATCATCTTCACAACAAGACAACATCAAGATCATCATCATCTACATAGCTATCATCATATTGCAGTCATTTGTGATCAAAGACATGAGATTTGTAATCCACATGTGTTTGAGGGAGCGTATTAGAGAATTAAGATAAGATTTGATGTATGGGATGTTATGATAAGGAATAGACTTACATTAGGAGTTCTCAATAGGATAGAACTTCGTTATGTTATAATAGAGTTTGAGAAAGATTAAGATAGACTATAGATTCCTAGATATAGTTTAAGAATTTTAGTTTGAATGGGTTTGATCTATGTTTTAGTCTATAAATATGATATAATTACCATATTCAATTAATGCATTCTTTCTAGCCTTCCTTAAATTCTAATTGAGCTTAAGCATATGAATTGGTAACTCATTCACAAAAGTACTTCTAAGATCCAATGTTCTAAGACTTTTCAAGTTTCCCAAGGAGTTTGAAAGCACTCTGATCTTCGTGTTCTTCAGACTCAAATACCTCAAATGGAAGAGATTTACAATTTCAATAGGAATTTTTTCCAAAACATAACCCTATAAGTCCAACACTCTTAGAAGTTTGAGGTTACCCAAAAATCCATGGACATGGTTCTCTTTCTTCAACTTTCTTACCCCAAACATGAAAAGTGATCGAAGATGGGGGATATCAATTTTGTTCCAAGGAACCTCCTCATAGTTATGGTGAACTAATATTCGACGTGTGTTCTGATGTTGAAAATTTGTCTCTTGTTTGCTAGTAATTTTACAAAATCTCTCCTCTTCAGATTTTAAATTACTCATCTCTCATAAGAGATCATGGACACAACTTTCTACCCGTCCATTGTGATAAAATTCTGCAACTTGAAGCAAATTCCGTTGGATGAGCTCCTTGAGTTAGTCTTAGGCAACACCTTATAGTGTCTTATCTCTTACTTCCTTAAAAAATCTATCAACTATCCATAGTCTAATCAATCTCCCACAATCAATTACATGGTTTTTAGGAAAAATGCTCAAATACAAAAAACAATATTTTAGGTGGTAGGGAAAATCATTGTAACTTAATGATAGAATTCATGTCATAGGCGTGAGAATTTGATTTATTTATAGCTAATGGCCGATGCTATGAT